TTATCTGAACATCTAGAAAGCCAGTGCCTTGGAGTGCTGCAAAGACAAAACACTAGCATTGACAAATGACTTTGCTGTTTATGGATTTAGATGTAGGTTGCCAAAAATAAGAGATTTATGCATGAAGACAAGTTTGCATCTCTCATCTTGTGCTTAGTGGCTAAAACCATAAGGGTGAACAAAAGCCTATCTGGATTTTACAAAGGTCCGAGATACCTCCACTCTCACTAAAAAGGCAGGCATCTGATCACAAGGAACAAAGCCCTGTCATGCTGAGACAGCTCACAAGGCTGAAGCATCAATATTCTTTTCTGTGGAAGTCCACTATTTCTGCTATCTACACAAAAATATTTTTCCACACAAGTGGTTTTATTACAGTATTCCTAAGGCTGCTGGCCTTCCACTGCACCTCCCAACTTTAAATGAATTTGGTACAATTAGTAGCACTCCTGCAGATAACACTGAAAGGTATTTCTACAGCTAGAACACCTTGGGCTTTCAAACAGCACTGCAGGGAAATGGAGAATTGTCAGAAAAGACATAAAATGTTACTAGAAGAACTGCAAAAAGCCACATTTAACTTTTTTTTTTTTAAATTCTTCTCCCAGCACAAGTTTATAGTACACTACTTTTTTACCCTGTCCATGCAGGGCAACTACAACAACAAAAAAAAGCAGAATTCAGATTATCCAAATATCAAAACTATCAGTAACTGTGTAAATGAACAAGTGATAGGACCACTTTACCAACATTACACCTGCAATCTGAGATATATCCACCCGATCCCAGCACAGAATGCTCCAGAGTAAAGCAGACACCCATGACTCCAGTGCTTGCTAAAACTTTACGATAACCAGGTGAGAGCAAAGACTTTTTCCTGTGGGAGTAAACAAGACCTTTGTTACTGGCTTCAGTGGGAGCGGATCTTGGCAACAGGTGAAAGATTAAGCTTCTAGGAAATTTTTAAATAAAAAACTGTATTATTATAAGGAGATATAACTATGTGTAGATTAGACAACCACGTATGAAAGCAATACTGTATTAAGTGTTGCGCATCATTTATTCAGTCTTTCTTCTGTAGAGTAAGACAACACTCATTGCCCACAAATCTCATCAATAGTTTATATATTTTCAAAGTTAGTACTGCAAAATGGCCATTTGGTGTCAATCCACTTCCTAATGAATGTACAGCTGTGTCAAAAACTGCTCCCTTTACTGGCAATCCCTGCAGTGATGCTGAAAGGTGCACTCCCTTTATTCTCTCCCCTTGGAGATGGTCCCTTTACAGCTGGAATGGGGTACATTGGCATCAGGCACACTTATGGCCTCTGCAGAGCATGTTCCAGACTCTCAACAGTGTCAGTTCAGCATCTTTTAATGTCCAAATTGAGCTAAAAGAATATTGGTTGTCTTAAGACCACTATGAAAACATACCCAAGTTATCACTTACGGATAGGATTGTCATCCTAGTCAAAGTAACAAGATTATATAGTTAACCGTTCTGAGAGGAGCAGAGGGCTCTGAAGCAGTTAAGATTAACTTCCTGAGACTGCAAAAACCAAGAAAGGAATTTCAGCATTGCACATCATTTTTTGTCTGGCAATACCTACACTCCTTTAGATAGTTACCACCTTCTCATCTATCTTTAAAGATCTTGCTTCTTAACAAAAAAAATTCTCCAACTACAAAAGTTAAGCTGCACTCACCCTAAAGTGCGATTTTCCAGTTTTGCAACCCATAGACACATGAATCACAGTGTGCAAATGTGCACTGTCCTACAGGGGAGCACAGGAATTTGCTAACAGTCTTCTCTGAAAGAAAGATCTAATGAACATTCACTGTTAGTTTTCACTGTGTAAGCTTTTAATACAACAGAAAAAGCTAATAGAATTGCACATAATAATCTCACTGACTGAATATTTTGCTGTTAAAATAGCATGACATACTGCAAAATCAAATCCTGTATACAATATGTACGTCTTAAAAAGATACTCCTAAAGCAGTAAGACAGCAAGACCCAAATGAAGGACTAGCAACTCCTTGCCCAGCTACAATACCCTTTAGCTTTGTAATTTAAACAGGAAGCATGACTTTCAAGAACAGCCCTTCAAAGCTAACTGAAAATTTAGAAACAATAAATGCAAAAAGAGTTGCTACATTTACATGCTGTCAGGCTTGTTTGTTTTGTTTTTTAAATCCATGGTTTGGCCTTTATCACCAAAATAAAACAACAACAAAACCCAGCACATACCAAAAATATCGGTCCAAATCAGCAATACTTGATACAGATAGAGATATATGCTGATATTTCAGCAACACGGAGCTAAACTATTCATCTATTTGAAGAGAATACCCCAAGATTATCTCAGAGCTTTAGAATCCCGAATTACAGTAATACACTCGTAAGTATACTTTTTTAACCAGCAAAAAAAGTTAAAAGCACTTTCTTGACTTCACAACATGGTCCATTAAAAATAATAGGTCAATAACTACATTTAACATATGTGCTCTTTACAAAGGTTATGCCTTCAAAGAACTAGTTACGAGTTTTGGGTTTTGAGATTTTTGTTATTTTTTTTAAATGAAGTTTACAACACTAGCTGCTGCTTTGCACCTTTTTCTCTTTGCCTTTCTGCTCTGAAATTAGGGGTGGAATCTCTTGGGTAAATGCAAAGTCAAAATACTTGTTCAACATGGTAGTGTTGAGCTTTGCTGGTAACTAGTCATGCCTCAATTTTGGCAACTGTGCTTCTGAAAGCTTTTGAGGTTATTTTTCTTGAGGTGTATGCTGTTTATCAAACTCCAGGCATGAATACTCTCCTGTCTTAAAATCGCCATTTTGGCTACAAGCATGGCTCTGTACTACTTTCCCAGAAATTAAGTACTCTCTTTCTTCCTACACAAATTTAGCTCTTAACCTTCCTTAATATAAGAGTAGATTCTTGTTATGCTGATGAAACTCTTACAAAGCAACTTCCACCTACTTCTTCCATCTTCTACACACAATAAACATCCCCGCAATCTGTCCAAGCTTTCATCTACTCTCCCACACCAGCACAAGGGTCTTGATACTTAAGCTGGCTCTTCTAACTGTGGGAAATCATTGGCAATTGTTTCAGTTTTTCACCACCACAGTTCTCATGTAGTCAAGAGACAGAAAATTGTAATACAGCAGCTAATAGCCATTGTTTTACTGGAGCTAATACTCATTTGGTAGTTTCAGACTGCCAAAAGACATGGGGATCAGCAGCTCAGACTAGCACCTTTTCCATGATTGCTAAATCGTTAACAGAAGAATAGATCTTGTTTCAGCAAGATACCATAAAAGAAAGTGAGCCTCATAAAAGAGACAAAGGAAAAGGCAGGTTACAGCAGTGTAGATGTGGAACAGGAAAGCAACCAAAGTGTTTTACTATTACATGGGTCATTTGATAGAGTTTTAGTACAACTCTTTGTATGGCACACTGTGGTGCTTTCTGGATTGTTTCAATACATCTGCTGTACTTTTCTGCACTGGAAGTCTCACACATCACAGACAGCTGTTGTCCTGGTGTCTTTAATTCTGCACTCACGGTACTTCAGAAGATGCTACCAGAAGTAAGCTGCAGTATTAAATAAAATTCATTCTACTGCAGGGAAAAGAGTCTTAAAATATAGCAGTTCTTAATATATACAGACACATCCATTTTGAACTCCCTATTTTCTTCCACTCAAGTGCCAAAACAAAAGAGTCACTATTCACACAGGCTGTCAACAGACTTTGAGACATGAACTTTGAGTGTCTTGACAAAACCCCAATAAGTAAGCTTATCGTAGTCCATAGTTACAGTGAGAAAGACAGATAAGAAAGCCATATACAGAATTAAGGAGACTTTGCACTTTTCATCATGCCCAGCCCTGGGTAGTTCAGATGGGGTACTTGCAGGCAAGCAGGCAGGCAGGGTCATCGTCAGTTGTTTGTGTTGGGACACCTCATAGATTTCACTGCTCACTCTGAAGACTGGCGATTCATGTGTGCTTTTTAGTTTCTTTGTTTTTAAAAGTCTTTAAAGTTGCATCACTCGGAATCAGATAAGTCACTTTAAACAAAGCAAAGTATTAAGTGTGACAATTTATTTATAACATACTTCCCACCATCACCACCACACACCACCCTGTGAAAGAAAAACCCCTGCTGAAAGGGTGACAATTTTTAATATGTTTGAAAGAAATTAGACCAACGCTGCATCAAGAGCCACTCTAGTCAAATTAAGAGCAGAACAGAGGGGGAGATAGTTCAAAGCATACATTTAATTTAAGCATCCTGGATTAGCCTGCTTCTCCACTTCCTTAAGAAGTCAACACACAATTGGTCTAAACTCACGCCAATTTCCACATTATTTTTAAAAGACAAGCTAGGCAAAAAGTCTTTAGCATAGAAAAGAAACCCCAATGTTTTTTTAATATACTTTTCAGATTTCAATAGGGGAACTGGAAATCAGCCTAAACATCTTCTATCCCACATTTACTGCCTGATACAAATACTAGCCCAGGAAGTGTAGCCTAAGAGTTCTGACACAGCCACTATCTCAAGATAGCTTCTCTTGTTAAGAGGACTTCTAGACATACACTTCTGTTAAAGCTTCTGGTTCTTGCAGTTGTAGGTCATGTAGAAGGTCCCAACATCACACACAACATATTTTTTCTTTTAACACCACATACTGTTGAAGCAGTGCTTGGTGCTGAGAATGGATTACTTCCAAGAGGGCAAGTCTTGTGTGCTAATTTTGTAACAGGAAACATGCTGGAGAGAGAACCAGCAGGCATGGAGAGACCCGATATGCTGCTACACAGGAGATAGTGAGGTAAACTGTTCGTGTTTAGAGTGGGTGTAGCTTGTTCCATAGAGTGTTCACGAGGCAAAGGACCAAAACTCTTTCTCAAGCTCTTGTACAACAGGTAAGGTGCAGTAAAGTAACAGTGGCTTGTTTGCTTCTTAAAAAAAAAAAAAAAACAAAAAAACAACCCTTCTTGCAAAGCACAAGGTACTGGCAATTCCTTAACAGATAGGACTCAAGGTTCAGCCCAATGAGCCAGACCACTTTTTCTAAATCTCCCTTACTTCTCCTTTAGGTGTAACATGCTGCTTTATCAGCAGTTCAAGAGGGAAGTCCCTCTAAGGAAAAAAAGGAGGGGTGGTGGTAGAAATACAGCCTAAAACACACAGCACATTATTTTGTCCATATCTGTAAAGCGAGAGATCCCCTAGTGTTCTCTCTCCTTCATTTCTGGAAGTTATCCAGGATTAAAACCTACCAAGATGTTTGAGCAGTATTTTAATCAACACTGCACTGACTCTGGTCTGCATAACACTTGTGCATTAACCTCGAGATACCTCAGTTTTTACAAGAGATTGAATATTTTCCCATCTTCCTGTCCTAAAGGTTCCCCTGTTCCTCTTTAACAGGAACAGAGTTCTATACAACAGGTACTTTCTAGTGCCTCTGAATGGGAAAGGAAATAATTTTATGATGCTGCCCAGCAACATCTACTTATATCTTAAAATTATGTTTTACAATTTGACTGGGATGGGTGGGCGGGGTGGAGAGGGAGAAAAGAACAGGAGTTTAAAAAGAAAAAAAAAAAAGCAAGGAGAGCTTCCTAGGCTCTTTCTCCACTTAAAATGGGAGATTCGAACAGACAGCAAAAGCCCTGTCCAGTCAGGAGGGATCCATATCTATTCCTCCAGACAGGTGAATCTGTTCTATTGTATGACATCAGAAAATGCTCTATCAGTGTTAAAAACAAAGTTGTAAATACGGACACTAAGATTTTGGGCAACACAATGATCAGGAAAGGGCCTGAACAAGTTGTGCCAACAGAAACAGGGTTTGGGGTTTTGTGTAGATGCAGAATGGCAAAGCCTCCACAAACTTTATTTCTGGGAGTCTCTACAGAAGGCAGAGAAGTCCGAGAGGCTAAAACAAGGAGCCCTAACAAGGAAAAGGGGTGTGCTTACAAGGGTCCGTATCTGGTCTCGTATTTAGAAACAATGTTCTTGCATCGTCCCACTTCCTTGCGCAGCTCTGCAACCTCCGTCCTCAGGGCTGTATTCTCTTTCTCAAGAAAGGCTGCCCGAATTGTGATCTGATTCTCCTTTAATCGCCGAGCATCACGCGAACGCTTTGCTGCCACATTATTCTTCTTTCGCCTTGTCCAATATTTCTCATCCTGTAGCAAAAAAGGAGGGGGGGACGGGGGGGGAAAGAAGAAAGATGGCAACCTGACAACTGTATCAAATAGACACTTCCTTAGTGTATAATGACATTCACACTGACTGCTATGTTGAAGAACGTCCTTCTTTGGTTTGCAGGGCTCCGACATCAAAATGCAGGCAACACAGTAGTGTAAGATTTCATCCTCACACGAGTCTTGTTTTAGGATAAACCAAGTGCACTGCTAGAACTAGGGAGAGTAAGAGACTTGGCTACTAAGAAGCTGTCTAACTGAAATGCTCCCTTTACTTAGTTTCAATTTGGGAATGAACTTCCACAGAAAACAATCTGTTCTGTTGTCTGAGCTGCTTAAAGCCAGATCAGACATAATGCTGGGCAAATATATACAATGGCCTTCAAAAGTGCAGTTGATGAGGACGTGACTTGATAGTTCTTCTACTTCCAATTTCTGTGTATAGCATAAGCTGCCCCTGCCCAGTAATTATCTCATGATACCAAACCAGCAAAACAGCAAGAGCAGCAGGTGACTTGCCAATTCTGTTCTTGGCAGTGCTTCTGCCCAATCACGTAGGTATGGCACATTAGCTTTGTATGTCAAAATGTTTGGACAGAGTCAGAAACTTCGATCAAGGCCTAGAGAAGTTTGCAGCAATAAATCTGTTACCTTTTGCTCATCTGGGACAAAAACCTTCTTGGCTTTTTTAATCATTGGTTGTGGTTTCAGGTCCTCTTCAGTAAACTTGTGCTTGCGAGGATTGAAGAGCTCACCACCAGGCACACTGGACAGCACTAAATCAGCAGGGTCAGGGTTAAAATTCACCTCAACTTCTACGCAGTCAGGATCAATGGGGCTGGGAGTATTTCTCTCATTTTGTGGTGGGGACTCTGGCAACAACAGAAGTTACAATACATTCAGCAGGATGAAGAAAATTAACTAAGCCAACCTGGGTATCTCTCTTTATTGCCCTACTGTGGGCAGTATTTAATAACAGTATTTGGTATTTCCCTAGGGTGTGCTTGGTGCTGTACAGCTGCTGGTACAGAGAGAAGCCACAGTCCAGTCTGTAATACAAACTCTAGAAACATATGCCAAACTAACAGACAAGAGTAGGTAGATGCAGGACAAGAGTTAATACTTCCTTGGCAAAAAATACACGCTTTGCACACTCAAGAAGTGCCTTCCACAGCAGTAAGAAGTGAGAAACTTGTATCAGCCTGAGTTTTGTACCATAGAAAGCCTTATGGAAACAAGCCTGCCCAAAGACCGCAGTCCCTGGGACCTTCAAAGATCAGACAACTGTATTTCCAAACAAAGGACTAAATAAAGGTGGGTTTGTTACAAATGCAACAGTATTCTACTTCTTTACCACATGGTAACAAATGTCCCAACAGACTGTCTGACACTGACAGTGTTCATATAAACTTTGTCATATTTATCTATTGTTTACAAACTTCATACACATGAATTGCAAATGAGTAAGTTTTTCAATACAACTCCTAGAAAAAAGCCACACCCTGTGTCTTATTGAAGGGGTTCTACATTTTGCCTTTCTCTCACAGATTCACAGAAGGGGCCTTGAGCAAAACACTGTCTGTAAAGTCTGCTCATAAAATAGTATGGTGAAAGTTTAATGGCTATCATGTTTAAACTCCAAATCTAGGGCAAACCGAGCTGCTAAATTCTTTAATAGAGAAGATCTCCATACTACAAATGAAGAGTAGAAGTTTCCTAGTACCATTTAAGTACAGTTCTGTTTTGTTGTTCCTCCATTCCCACTTCAAAGCACCACAGAACATCAAACTGCATCATTAACACACCTTTTCCAAGTGTTCTCACATTTCACAGGCTAGCACGAAGAGACTGCTTCATTGTTTTGCTATCAAGCATTGTTATTTGAGGTGCATTAAGTTAGCCTAAGTTCACCCAAGCAGACCAAGCCACCAAGGTAGCACAAATGACTTGTCATAAACTATCAAATCTGTTGTAAAATAACCTGAGAAACTATTTTCTCAACATGTCTAGCTTCTCACTAGATTAGCAATACCAAGAAAGCAAATACTTTCTGTTGTTTTTTCAGCTCTTCTAATTTCAAAAGAGAAACAGACTGCACACTGAGAAACACTCACTCATTTTTTTCCAGGAGTGGGGAGAGAGGAAGAAAAGGAGTGGCAGCATCTTCATGAATTGACACATGGAATAAAGCTCTACATTGAGCATGTTTGTGCTACTTAACCTGCCACAGCTAACACTGACAGGTTAGCATGTCTCCTCTTTGATCTAAAGAGGCACCTTTTAATATGAGAACAACAAAAGTCCCTCAGAGCCCCACGTTATTCCATCTACCTGTGCTGGAGGCTGCTTCAGATTGCTGGTAAACTGCAGTGGAAGAGGATGATGCAGGAGAACCAGTGGAAGCACTGGCAGACTCCTTTCCTTCCAGCTCAGCCACAGGCAAGAGTGGATTTTGGTTCAAATCCAGGTGAGTAGGGCTGGAAGGAATTCCATTCTCCAGCAGGAACTCATCCAGATCCATGTACTCCAGGTGGAAAGACTCGCCATCGTAAGGAATAGTTTTGTCCCAAATGGGTGGCATAAGGGAAGCCGAAACTGCCATAGTGCTGGCAGCTGCTGCCTCATCTTCCTCAAGCTTTATCTTCTCCTTCTCTTTATCTGAAAGATACAAGTAGGTCACTGTACAAGCTGCAACACAGGAGAGACTCAAGGTTTAAGAGTCTAACAAAATCCCCATGAAAGGAAATTCAGTAAGCTATAGTTCTGCCTCATGACATGATCTGAAAAATCAGATGATGAAAGGCAACATTCATACATTCATAGGTAAATCAGCATGGAACGCTCTGACTCCCTGTGATGGCTGGATCACAGACATCTGAGTAGCCTTGAAGACCAACATCTTTGCTGTGGTAACTTACCAAACGTGATATAATACTGCATCTAGCTTATTGTTAACTAGTCACTGCAAAATAGCCTGGGTTTCACAGCCTCATCTTGGAAGACAGCAAAAGTGAGTGTCCATAAGTAGGATTACATGGGAAGCCATTAAGAAAACTCCAAGGAAGTAGTTTATTCTATGCACAAAGAAAGAAGGTGCAGAAGAATAATCTAGATACAAACAAGAAAGGGATATGGGTTTTCAAATTACACTTGAAAATTAGTCAAAAGGTCCACAGGACACCAGAGACCTGGATGTCTGTTGTTCAGTGTTTTAGAAGCATTTATTTCTGAAATGACTCAGCATGTCCACACAAAGCAATAGCTCCAAATGCTGTTCACTATAGATAGCTCAGAATACCTACATACAATTTTCACTCTTTGGGGAGATGTCTAATAAGGCATACTCCCACACCCCACCCCCAAGCCACAAAAGACTGATGAAATTTTCTTCATTTACTGTGCTACAGTGCACCTATTACAGAAAAATGGCTGTTTCCATGTTCCCCATAGCTGCTGAATCTTAACAATTGTCTGGGACAGAATCCAAGCAGAAAACTCAAGTTATGGAATAATTACATAATTTAAGAGATAAAAATAAGCTGGCAGAAAAAGAAAAAAGAAAAAAAAAGAAAATCCAAGTCGTCTTCCTGATCCAGTTCTCCATGTAGCCATGCAGTTGTACCAGCACTGAAGGAGGCATTGCAGAAGCAGTGCTACCACTGCCAACACTGAGGCAGCACTGCCGTCAAAAGGAACGGTCATCAGTCGTCCCCTAACCAACTGCAAATTGGGTCTTACCATGGAAGCTGACAAATGTTCAGTTCAATGGAACAAGGACTCCAGGGGCATACACTGGACCAGCCTGGATCTCCAATATTCACACAGGTTAGCTCAATAAAATGCACAGGTCTTTGGCATTAGGGTTTTCTAGACTGCCTACAATTATGCTAAAGGAGTATTTTTCTTTATCAGGGGTGGGAGTGGGGGTGAAATTCTGCTCTAAATCAGAAAAGCCTATTTATATAAAACCTATTCTGATAGAACTGGCATTCCTTCCGCTGTTGCCTTAGCTGGTGTGGAACTGAGATTGAAAGAGCTTTTTATGGCTTAAAGAACAGTGCTGCCATACAAAGTAAATTACCATTTTAATCTACCATACTCTGAACATTTTATACAAAAGAAGATACCAATTTTAAACTAAACAGCTGAGAAAATATACACCAGCCACTGACTTGGGACTAAGAGCAAGTACCTAAAGAACATGTTAACTTCAGACCAGTGGCTCCTGGACCCCAAGCTTTCTTAACATCCTTTTGCAGCTTTTGGCTTTCCCCCTTGCCACTTCATACTGCCACCTCTGAATTGCCATTTTCCAACTCCTATCCCTGCTATAAACTCCTTTTTGGAGTGAGTTTTGCAACTTTCCTACCCTTTGCTTGGGCAAAGCCAATGTGCAGGTTAACAGTCATGATGCAAATAACCTGAATGTTTCTAACAGCTGCTCCTTGAACCTAGTAAAGAAACACCATCTACTCCACATATAAGGATGATTTCACTTATTACTGAAGCACACCCCACAAAATTGGAACCACCATTTTACATCGAACTTGTGAATCAGGGATTGGGTGTTTCCCCAAGGTTTGCACAGTGCCCAGCACAACCAAACCCTGATTTGCATTGGGGGTTTTGGATGATATCCTAGTAAAGACATCACCAAAACAAATGCAAATGACAATAATGAATTCTTTGTAAATCACTTTGTTTTTTAATCAACATGATAAAAAAAACTTGTGAATGTTGAGTCAAAATGTCAACAAAAAGAAAAAAATCATTCTTTACTCTTGAAAACAATAGTATTCCATTATAAGTTATGCCGGTTTTAATGCAAGCCAGCAGTGCTTTTGTTTTGCAACATCTAATACAACACCTCCAACAGAGGAGAAAAGAAACCTTAAGTGATCAGTAGACTAAACATAAGGCTTAAAAATACTTTTCAGAAGGTAGATGCCAAAAAGACTATACTACTGGTGTATGTGGCTCTTCTCAGATCTTTTAATGCCTTTTAGGTATGCTGTACTTTTAGATCCTGCTGTACTTCAGTAACCTGAAAAGACTGTGGTCCCTCCAACTTCCTCTCGCCGTTGTCCCTGGCTCACACCAGATTAGATCCTTACTTTACGTGAGAAGACCATCTGAAATTTTTTGCCCTTCTACTATAAGCTGACAACTGGCAAGCACTGGGCCCCCAGTGCTGTCTTTGTTTAGCTATGCTGTCTGTCTGTCTCTCTCCCCCCTCACTTCTAACAGCAATAGCTGAAACATATTAAAATAGCAGAAGTTAACACACATATTGGGTGCCCATGTATTTCAAACATGATAACGTAAAGAGGTAAAACTGTTGTATGATAATTTTTGCATTGATGTTTTCCCACTGGCTTTCTTTCAATTCATTTAACCTTTATTTCAGCTGCACAACATCCCGCTGGGTGCACAGTATCTAATGAAACACTAATTAACTTCTTGCATCTTGAGGGGGAAGTTTCTGCCCACCCCAGCATAGGGACTTGAAACATTAAATCTCTGAAGATATTTATACTGTAAACAGGTATTACCTGACAGCAGAGCTGCAGTATCCTAAGAGGCTCCATTTGCAGTGATTCAAGGTCACCCTGATAAATCTGGACTGTACTTCTGCAGCTGATAGCTCATGTCCGATTTAGCCCCCTCATTCTGCTACTGTGACCTATTAACTAGGCTGTACATCTGCTGTTAACAGAGAGGTCACTAGTTTATGCTAAGTAATTCAGGCAGAGCATTCCAGTTCTTGAACTGTTGGAAATACTGCTGTTTTAGCCAAAAGCAGCAGCCTGGGAAGAGCTTTATTCCACATCCTGGTTTTTCCTCAAAAAAAAGCCCAACAAACTAACCAAACCCAGACCAAAAGACATTTTAGCCACAATTGTCAAGTGCAATCCCAGCCACAAACACAACAAACACTTATTTGACAAAGTTCTCCTTGTTCATCAAAAAATATTGTCAAATTATACTGAAAACACTATACAGACCAAGGCTGATTGCTCCATAAATCTTTAGTCCCACTTGTGACAATGGAACAAGACAGGTTATGGGGTTCTGTATCCCCGATGCCCATTACCGTGATGTTTGTTGAGGCGTTCCTCTTGCCACAGCAGCACACAACTGGTGATTAAGGCATCCTTTGGAAAGCATGCAGCAGCTCATTATTAATAGGAGAGACCTACACTCCTGCTCCAGAATATTAATGCTCTTCCCTTACCCCATAGACTTTTTTTATAAAAAGACTATTATTGTTATTTATTTAATCCCTACAATGTACATAACAACTTGCAGCAAGGCCAGTCAGATATACTTGGTATATGGCAGGGCATTCAAGATGATGGCATTCAGTTGGAACTGGATGTCCTCCTCTGTTGCTCAGAAGGATTAGAAAGCCTGCTTGCTTACTGGGTAGTCAAATTACCTACAGCAGTTGGAAAACCCACAGGTAGCTTGTGGAGACTATAAATGGACACTGCAGCTAGTTGATATCATTTCTCGCAGAGTAAGACAGAAAATTGTATTTTTGTCAACAGGCATTCCAGACAAAAGGCATAGGGTCCTTTCTCAAAAAGCTTGCTGAAAACACCCCACTGTATTAAGTAAATTAGTAATTATTTAACATTTTGGCTGTACCACTATACTGTAAAGGAACAGAAAATAAACAAGGATCTTCTGAAGTCAGTTGAGTCACAATGCTACTGACAAGTCTTTTGTAAAATTAGGAGTAACTACCTGCTAACACATAAGGCATTCTTTCTTTTGTCTTGCAAATATGCAAACAAGGAAAGCATCAGAGATCAAAATAAACAGAAAGCAACAAGTTCCACAAAGTGTGAAGTGAAACAGTACACAAGGTGGACTAAGGAAATCTATGGAGAAATTTTGAGAACAACCTGAACTTCATTGCAGCACGAATGGAGAGCAGTAATCAAGATGCAATGGACTCACTAGCAAGCTTTAGAGTCAAGCTGAACACCCTCCCAAGCTGGAATGGGGTCATCTAGTAAAAGGAAAAGTATAAAATGTTTCTAATTTTAGAAAAATGCACTACCTCAAAATTGTATTAATTTTAAAATTTTACATCTCCATAGGCCAGATCACATGATTCTGCACAAGAAAACCACTCCTAAGACAAAGTCGCCATATCCCAGTCAGCTACCATCATAGTTTCCATACATGAACTTAAATTGCTCCTGCTGGCACTATCGCCTTTAAAAAGGATCGAGAGAAGAAATATCTTGAGAAATCCCATAACGTTGTAGATTCAAGATTCTATGTACTGCAGCATCCTGCACCATGGCAACATAACTAAAACCTTTATCAGGGGCTGATGTTTTTGTTTGGGTTTTTTTTTTTTTTTACAGAAAAGAGAAAAAAAATATTTGCCAGAATCACAAGATGGATACATTTAGACAGTATTGTGCAATGTTAAACATACAAAGTAAATGGGTCTTAACTGGGAACCTCAGTGGGAATGATCTTGTCAACCTTGCTTGCACTGTGGTCTACCCTGGATATTGTCCGATGTTCCAAAAATGATTCTGAACCTCAAAATTCCTAAATGTAAGGACTTATTACATGCCAGTACACTGGGCATTACAGCAGTGCGGATAAACCTGAGCCCTCCTCAGAATCAAACTGATACTCTGAAAGGCAAAAATACTGCCAGGTGGAGGGGGAAAAAAAAAAAAAAAAAAGTGTGCCATCAGGAACGAAGACTATAAGCACCAGCACTGTTATTTACACAGCTGCTATCTGCATAATCAGTGGGGAGAGCGCCAGCTCCAGCCCGTACAGGATTGCACGGGCGGGCAGTCAGTCATACATACCCTCACGGATTATCACCAAGCCTAATCTTGAAGCGCTTTGCTGTTTATGCGTGCCATCGCACAACTTTTCAGCAAATTCGGGTCAAGGAAGACTCGAAACCTTTCCACCGCCGTCCCAACTACGTGCCTCAAGCTCGGGGAGGCCTCAGACGGCTCCAGGCCGTAAGCCCGCCGCCTCACGCCCCGACTTCTGCCTGCCCCTCGGCCGTTCTCCTCTGCCCACCTCAGCACGCCCCGACGGACGGCAGCAGACGAGGGTTCCGCTCCCTGCGCCGGGGAGCCGGCCCGCCTCCAGGCCGCCCCGTGAGGCCCCGGGATCCCGCCCGTGCCGGGGGCGGCGAGGGGCGTACCGGGGGGGGGAGGGCGGGAGCCCGCCGCCGGTGCCAGCGCTCCAGGCGCTCCTTAAACATCCTCGTTTAGGATCCCGAGATCACCTTTCCCACATGCCCTGGATTTAATC